ACACACAAAAGGGGAGTTGAATGTGTGTATGAACGAAGCAATTTTAAAATCGTTTTCGCAAGACTCTTTTTAGTCTAATAAAAATATTATTTTGAACACTTAAAAAACTGTACAAGATTGGCTCAAAAAATTTTGCATCTGAGAGTTTATTGTCTGCACAAGAAAAATGTTTCTTAAAATAATGAGTTAAGCAAGTGTATTTTCTGTCTGAAGATATTTGCAGTGAAAAGTAAGTAGTGGACGAAATTTTCAGTATGATATATTAGCTAAAGTTTCATATGAGAAATAGATAAAGAATGTAGAGAGTTTTATACTGGTTCGCTCGACTTGAGCTACGTCCAGTCTCCTTCAAATAAAGGGTTTCACTAATCACAATGGATTACAAGTATTATCAACCACTTCTGGTTCGCCAACTTCACTCGTCAGCGCTAGTATTCTTAAACCACTTCTGGTTCCCCAAGTATTATCAACCATTCCTGGTTCGTTCATGGCCATATAGATCTTTCATTTAATGCATTTGATCTTGCATTAAATGTTTGCTTATTGAATCTGTGTTACGTGAAGTCTTTTACGTAGTTTGCTCACTTTTATTTCTGACTTCAATCATATCCTAGGTATTTCTGTTCTCTTTCTGTCATTGTAGCTAGAGAGGCGTTGTCTTTTTTTGAAAAGTAGGTGTACTTTCTCTGACACACGCATGCTTTGACTTGTGGATACGCGTTTGTCTATCTTTCTTCTTTCTTCTCACAAATTGGATGACTTCGTGTTCTCTTCTATGAGTGTAGACGATATTTGATATCTCTTGTTTTGAATAGTGGACTTTAGACGTTTTTCAGTATTCTTCGTCTGCGTCTGGTACAACATCTCAAATTTGAGTCTCCGTTTGAGAAGTAGACTTTGACTTTTCCTTTCGTTTGGTCAGTTATGAAGATGGAATACTTTAATTATGTCTGGAATGTTTCTTCGTCTTATGTTATCCATCGTCTGATACTTTGTGTCCTTTGTCTGGTTGACAAATAAGCTTTATCTAATGTCTGTACGGACTTCATCCGGTGCTTAACCAACTTTTGTCTTGTTCTTGATTTAGCCTTGTTTGATACTTGTTTTGGCCTTTCATTTGATGCTTAAGAACTTTGACTGGTATTATGCCTTGTCTTGTATTTGTTGTATTTTTGTCTGGCTTTTGATCAGGCTTAGTCTTAATGCTTGATCAACCATCATCTGATATTTTGTTCATCTCAACCAGACTTCGTTTGGTTTGACCATAGTATGTGTAATGACACGTACTTCATTTTTCAGTTTTGCCTGTTCTTATATTTATTTGCAACACTAACATACATGTTAGAAATAACAATATGTATTATATTTGTCATATTCAAAACCTTGTTGGAAATTTCTTCGTCTGACTTAACAATCTCCCCCTTTTTGATGATGACAAATATAATCTATCAATTTGTTTCAGATACAATATAACATACATACAGGTTTATGCATATCAAACAGTTTATCAAGTTCGTGCATTTCATGTCATACATTAGAACAATCATCAAGCATTTAAGGGTTTAGGGTTCTAAGGCTCTCCCCCTCACTTGATTATCCCTTAGACAAGTTTGATAGATCCTTTCCTACTTCTCCCCCTTTGTAATCATAAAAAAGAAAGAGGTGTAGATAAAACAACAGTTTATTGTTCACTTATCAAATCCATTCATGGCCTATCTCTCATCCAGATGTATCTATCTTCTTGAAGGGGCTTGGTAAAGATATTTGATAGTTGTTCTTTTGTTTTAACATATATTAGTTCGAAGGTTCCTTTTTGTACATGATCTCTAATAAAATGGTGTTTTATCTCTATGTGTTTAGTCTTGGAATGCAAAACAAGATTTTTAGAGAGCTACATCAATCCGGCCCCCTCCAAAGTTCTTCCATCATAAGGTCAACCAGAAACTGCCTTTCAGAAATAACAATTAGACATTTAAGACAAATACTAGAAGTAGTTTTAGGACCATCTGTGGGGGTTTCTACAACTAGATCATAGCTCAAACAAGACACTAGAAATTTCAATTTTTGGACACAAGAAAAAGAAATGAAAGAATGAGTTGCACCAGAATTGAACAATACAACCAAAGGATTCTCTATGAAACAAATACCTTGTATTAGATTATCAGTCTGAGCAGCTTCGGCACCACTAAGAGAAAATACTCTTCCAGTAGTCTTTGGACACCTATGTTGAGAACTAGCTCTTGTTCCCATCATGCGTTGCCTTGGCGGTTGTGGGCACTGAGTACTAATATGACCCTTGCCATTGTAGTTGAAGCATGTTATCTCCTTGTCAGGACAGTTATAGTGTTTATGCCCATGTTGTCCACATTTCTTGCATTGACTAGTAGGTGTAGAAACAGAGCCTTCTACACTAGCAACACCACTCACGAAAGAGTTTCCAGCAACAGATCTACTTCTAGCATGATTTCCTTGAAACTTAGCAGGAGCAGAGTAAAGCTTACTCCTAGCCAGAGCACCAGAACTTGTAGCACGCATAGGACCTCCAGCTCACTTGTAGAAAGCATCACGTGCACGGTTGTCACAGTTGTAAATTCTACACTTGTTGACAAACGTCGAGTAATGATAAATCTCTTGATAATTAATTGTTGTCTTCACCTTAAGACGAAGGCCATTCACGAACTTTATGCACTTAGCTCTTTCACCACCCTTACCATGGTAGTGAGTACAATAGTAAACCAAAGCATCAAATTTGGCAGCATACTCTGCCAGTGTATCATTCCCTTACTTCAGCTCAAGGAATTCCACTTCCTTCTAACTCCTCACATCATCCGGGAAATACTTTTCAAGGAAGACCCTCTTGAAGTTGTCCCAATTCAAGTTCACTCCTCCATCAATCATCCTTTGAAGTGCTCCTTCCCACCAAAAATAGGCATCAGTAGTCAACATGAAGATAGCCAACCTCACCTTCTGAGCAAGGGGGCACTCCATGGCATTGAAGATCTTCTCGATCTCCATTAGCCAATTCATTGCAGCATCTGGGTCATATCCTCCTTTGAAGGTAGGTGGATGATTTCGCTAAAATTTCTTCAACCAGTTAGGAGCGACTCCAACCCTATTGTTATTATGCATAGCTTGTGCTAATGCTTGGAGAGCATCAACAATTGCACGATCATTCCTACCAGCCATGTTCTAAGAAAAGAAACACACAATTAAGCCAACATTAACAATACAAAGCAACCACAATCGTCACAAAGCAAAACATTTCAGAGTACACAACAAAATCATGATAAGCATATAACACACATATCTGGTTTGAATCAACCTGGCTCTGATACCACTAAATGTGACACCCTCTACCCCACATACCATAACACATAAATAATAAAATTTGAATAACACAATCTTTCATAATTAAAATACCAAATGTGTTTAGATAGAGAGCACCACATCCATGACTTATACAAATGACTTAATCAGCGGATATTATAAAGAAATAATGCTAAGGTTTCCAAAATAATTTAATAAGAATAACATCCTACCACACAATGCTATATATAGCCATGGAGAAAGGCGGGAAAAAATTCAAATATTTAAAACCCTAAACCAATAAATCTACAAGATCCAACGGCAGAGATGACCCTAACCTTTCAACTTCTCCTATACCTTAACCGCTATACCCTTGAAGAAGGTACACCTTCCCCAAGGCTGGGGGGCAAGTGTACTGGCAAGGCATTTCGGCCACCATATGGTCGATACCTGATCGGCACCTGAAAGACCGAACCAGGTGGCCGACACCCAATCGGCACCTGAAAGGCCGAACCAGGTGACCGACGGCTGATCGGCCATTGGATACCTATGGAATATGAAGTATTATTAATCAAGGGACAAGAATTATCCTTAATCAAGAGTTAAGAGTTAATCACATCCTTAATCAAGAGTTAAGAGTTAATCACATTGATAAGCCGATTAGAGGCGTATTACCTAATATGGTAATCCTGTCATAGGGCCCAAAGGGGTCAGGGCCCATAAATGTCAGTATAAATAGCTCAAGTAAAGAGGTAACGTCACTGTTCATTAATTATCCTAGATATTCGTGCTTGTCCTAACTTGAGCATTGGAGTGCCTTTTGCAGGTACCAACCCCAACCCCTTTACTCACATTGGATCGGAGCACTCGTTCGGCCCTCAGACTACGAGAAGATCACTGGTGTATCCTTTTGACAGGTACATTTTGGCGCCCACCGTGGGGCCGAATGAAGATAGTACGAAGTTAACTAAGCAGAGCAATGCCGATAACAAGGAGAACTAACACGCAAGATCACCAAAACGAAGAACATGTTGAAGTAGTGGACGAAACGGATCTTTCTGAAACCGCTCGGCTATTGAAACAGGAAATGGAAATTATGAAGCAGCAGCGGGAGAAAAACGCGCAAAAGTTGTCAGCTTTAAGAGCTGAAAATGCTGCGCTAAAAAATCAAGATCTGTCATGGAAACCCACTCAGGTCACCAACACACAAACCTAGGGATCTTATCAATCTCATGAGGTTCATACATCGGCCCCTCATGCCTCGGCAGCAGCCCCTCCAAAAATCATTTCGGCCCAACAAACTGTGGGTCATCCTGCAGACTTGGCCACTGTGGGATCGTATAGACATCCCTTTACTCCTTCAATTACGCAACTCTCGTTAATGGATAACTGGAAATCTTTGCCCATAGACAAATATGATGGTTTAACAGATCCTGATGAGCATTTGGATGTTTTCTTGACACATGTAACATTGAGTACAACTGATGATGCTGCTTTATGCCGGATTTTTCTGACATCTCTCAAAGGCAGAGCCCTAAGTTGGTTTACTCGGCTCCCTCCTAACTCAATCGACTCGTTCAACACATTGTCATCCCAATTCACCATTCAGTTTGCAAACGAGTCGTCCTCATAGTTTGACGTCGCTATCCTTGGTTGGCCTTCGGCAAGACAAAAAGGAATCTCTTAGGACATTTATGGATCGGTTCAACAAGGCTGCCTTGGAGATTCGGGATCTTAATCCTGCTGTTGCACTACATCATCTCACGACAGCCTTAAAGCCCGGGCCGTTTGTTAATAGCATATGCAAAAAACCTCCTTCGGACATGAATGATTTACGGAGGCGGGCCGATAAGTACATGCAAATGGAAGAATTGGCTGAATATCGTAATCAGGCCCGAGCTGAACCATCGAACAAGCCAGAGAAGCAGGCAGAACAGCCATACAGGGGGCGAGGCAAAGACATATCTCTTCGGGATCGGCCTACTCGGGGTCCGAAGTACACTCACTATACTCCACTCAATACAAGTCGTGCCGCGGTGCTTGAGCAAGCTTTGGCTTCAGAAGTGCTAGTAGTCCCGAAAAGAGCGTCCACTCCACCACGGGCGGATACTAGCAAGTCTTGTCGGTATCATCGCAATCGTGGACATTCTACTGACGAGTGTGCGGCCCTCAAGGACAAAATTGAAAATTTAATTAAACAGGGCAAATTACATAATTTTGTGGATCGTCCAGGCTCGTCCCAATCTCGTTCATATCAACCTCGATATCAGGATTGGTGCGGTCAGGATAGTTCTGATAGACCTCGACGCGAACAAAGCAGGTCACGTGAAAGGAAAGATGATTCGGCACCTTCGCATAGGAGGGTTATTAATACAATCGCAGGCGGATTTGCAGGTGGGGGCACAACTTCTTCAGCCCAAAAAAGACATCTACGAGCCGTCCGATCGATCAATGCCATTGATAGACAACCCTCCCGACGACTGCCAACAATAACTTTCACTGATGCTGATTTCCAAGGCATTGATCCGGTGCAAGACGATCCAATGGTCATCAGTGTAGAAATTCACAATTGCATCGTTAAGAAAACACTGATTGACCAGGGCAGTTCGGCGGATATCCTATATTGGAATACCTTCAAGCAGCTGGGCATTTCGGAAAAAGAGTTAATCCCTTATGATGATCCATTGGTCGGTTTCGCAGGTGAGAGGGTAAGCACCAAAGGGTATATTAAACTTTTCACTCGCTTTTGTTTTGACCAACAGGAAAGCAGGGAAATTCAGATAAAATATATCGTGGTTAATGCTAACACCTCCTATAACATTCTCCTCGGTCAGCCATCCTTGAACATGTTGGGGGCAATTGTCTCAACACCGCACCTAGCGATGAAGTTTCCGTTTGACAAGGGGAAGATCGTCACAATACACGCCGATCAGAAGGCTGCCCGAGAGTGCTACTATGCCATTTTACGAGTTGCGCCGATCCAAGAGAGGAATTCGAAATCCAAGAGGATTCATGCGGTTAACCCTTCGGTAGGGGTTGAGGAGTCAATTTGGGATCTTGACCCGAGAATGAAAGACGAGGAGCGTGTAGAACCAGTTGAATCAAAAAGGCAGTTGCAAATCGGATTACACCCAACTCAGGTTACATATATTGGTGCTGATATATCTGAAGCAGATCGTTCCATCCTGAGCCAGGTGATAATAAAAAACAAGGATCTTTTTGCATGGACACCTTCTGACATGCCAGGCATTGACCCCAAGGTCATGTGTCATAAATTATCAATTTGTGCCGAAGCAAGACCGGTAGCCCAACGTAAAAGAAAAATGGGAACGGAACGGAAGCTAGCAGTGGAAACAGAGGTAGCCAAGTTGCTTGAAGCCGGGTTCATTCGGGAAGTTCACTACACCACTTGGTTGGCAAATGTGGTAATGGTGAAAAAGCCAAACGGAAAATGGAGAATATGTACTGATTACACTAATCTCAATAAAGCCTGCCCTAAGGATGCTTATCCACTCCCGAACATAGATCGGTTAGTTGACGGTGCCTTCGGTCACGGAGTCTTGACCTTTCTCGATGCTTATTCGGGGTATAATCAAATCCCCATGCATCCCCGTGATGAAGAAAAAACAGCCTTCATAACTGACTCGGCCAATTATTGCTACCAAGTAATGCCCTTCGGGTTGAAAAACGCAGGTGCAACTTATCAAAGATTGATGAATAAAGTTTTTCGACACCAACTCGGTAGGAATATGGAGGTGTATGTTGACGATATGGTCGTCAAATCCAGAGACCTTGAACAGCATGTAATTGATCTTTCGAAAGTGTTCCAACAATTGCGTAAATATGACATGAGGCTTAACCCATAAAAGTGTGTGTTTGGAGTATCAGGGGGAAAGTTCCTCGGCTTTATGCTATCGGCAAGAGGCATTGAAGCCAATCCCGATAAGTGCATGGCAGTCATCAACATGGTCAGCCCTCGGAACCTCAAAGAAGTTCAAAAGCTTGCAGGACGGCTCACAGCTTTGTCACAATTCCTCCCATGTTTGGCGGAGATAGCAAAACCTATTGTTGGATTATTAAGGAAAGTGAAAAAGTTTGAATGGTCTATTGAATGTGAAGAAGCATTTCGGATGTTGAAAGAACGTCTAGGTTCTCCCCCCGTCCTTTCAAAACCTCATCCTCAAGTGGATATGATAGTTTATTTGTGCGTCTCAAATGAAGCAATCAGCGCCGTTCTGATTCAAAAAGTAGGGGGGCAACAACCCATTTACTTCATCAGTCGTATGTTACAGGAAGCCGAGACGAGGTATCAACTCCTGGAAAAGGTGGCATTAGGACTCGTGCACGCTGCTCGACGTCTAAGACAGTATTTTCGTCATCGTGTCGTAGTCCGAACTGATTGCCCGATTACCAAAGTTTTGCGCAAACCAGAATTAGCAGGACGGATGATGGCTTGGTCTATTGAGTTGTCAGAATTTGACATCAGTTTTGAAGCAAGGGGTCCAGTCAAATCTCAATTCTTGGCATATTTTGTTAATGAATTGCAGCCGAGGGGTCACTTTGTTAGTGATTTGTGGACAATGCATGTGGACGGTTCCTCAAACAGTCAAGGTAGTGGAGCCGGTATAATTCTTGAAGGACCAACAGGACTGAATCTTGAACAATCACTACGGTTTGCGTTTAAAGCTTCGAACAATCAAGCCGAGTATGAAGCATTGTTGGCAGGTTTAAGACTTGCACAAGAGATCAGAGTCAGGCGATTAATATGTTGGCCAGACCCGAAAGTTGTAGCAGAACAGGTAAACGACAACTTCCAGGTGAAAGATTCAAACTTATTGAAGTACTAACATTTGTTTCAGAGGATGCGCAATACGTTTGATGAAGTCCAAGTGAAGCATACGCCGAGAGCACACAACGAGAGGGCTGATCAGTTAGCTCGATTAGCACGCAGTACTTGAAAACCGGGCCAGTTACGAACCACACTTCACCTAGACCTAGCAACTCCGAGTGTGGTAGCTACCGAATGCATGACAATTGAGGAGCCCACTCGAACATGGATCACCGATATAACAGATCACCTTGAGCATGGAAAAGTACCATCCGACCCATCTGCTGCCAAAAAGCTCCGAGCATAAGCTGCTAGGTATACAATTGTTGGAGGAGAGTTATATTGCAGAGGATTTTCGGTCCCATTGTTGAAATGTATTGGTGCGGAGCAGGTTGAATATGTCTTGAGAGAGATTCACGAAGGAATATGCGGTTTTCACTCGGGTGGACGAACCCTGGCCACCAAGGTGCTTCGAGCGGGGTATTATTGGCCAACCCTCAAGGATGATTGTGTAAAGTTCGCCAAGCGTTGTGTGTCATGCCAACGGCACAGTAATCTCATTCATGCTTCAGCCGAAGAGCTTCATGGTATTAGTTGACCCTGGCCATTTGCAATGTGGGGCATGGACATCCTCGGACCTTTCCCAATTGCCAAGGGCCAATGTAAGTTTTTATTAGTAGTTGTAGACTACTTCACAAAATGGGTCGAGGCCGAGCCACTCGCCAGTATCACAGCTGCTAATGTCCAGAAATTCTTATGGAAGAATATTATCCGGCATTCCACATGCCCTCATCACTGATAATGGTTTGCAATTCACCGATCAAAAACTCAATCGGTTTATTCAAGATCTCGGCATCAAGCATAGGTTTACATCCGTAGAGCATCCGCAATCCAACGGGAAAGCCGAAGCAGCTAATAAGGTGATTCTCAATGAGCTAAAGAAACGGTTGGGAGACGCCAAAGGAGCTTGGGCTGAAGAATTGACGGAGGTCCTATGGGCCTATCGGTGCACTCCTCAGTCCACTACAAAGGAGACCCCCTTTCGGTTAACATATGGTACTGATGCCATGATCCCCGTTGAAGTTGGGGAACCATCTTTTCGGCGACAATACTTCGAGGAGAACTGCAATGAGGCATCCCTCCGAGCCGAAATAGACATGGTCGAGGAAATTCGTACCAAAGCACAGATCATGGCCGAAGCTTGCAAACAGCAAATGGCTAAGCGATTCAACTCGGCACTCGCGAAGAGGGAGTTTCAAGAAGGAGACCTTGTGTGGCGGGTACAAGGATCGGCAAGACGCAACCCTCGGGAAGGCAAGCTGGCGGCCAATTGGGATGGCCCATTCCGGATCTGACATAACCTTCATAACGGAGCATATAAACTAGAAGAGCTCTCCGGAAAAATCATTCCTCGCACCTGGAACGCAACTCATTTGAAGACGTATTTTAGCTAAGACATGCTTGTAAACAAAGGAATTTATCATCAATGTATATGCATGGTGCACTCTTTTCCTTGATCGGTCTTTTTCCCCTTATAAAAAAGTGAAAAGGGGTTTTGGCCGATAAGGTTTTTAATGAGGCACCCATTAATGAAATGAAATTTTACTCATTACTCGTCTTAAACCAATTGTCAACAAAAAAGGCTTCCTTCCCGAGTGACCCCGCTCGGCCAAGGATGCGTCTTCGGCTATCAACAAAAAAGGCTTCCCTCCCGAGTGACCCCACTCGGCCAAGGATGCGCCTTCGGCTATCAACAAAAAAGGCTTCCCTCCCGAGTGACCCCACTCGGCCAAGGATGCGCCTTCGGCTATCAACAAAAAAGGCTTCCCTCCCGAGTGACCCCTATAAACAAAAAAGGCTTTCCTCCCGAGTGACCCCACTCGGCCAAGGATGCGCCTTCAGATATCAACAAAAAAGGCTTCCCTCCCGAGTGACCCCACTCGGCCAAGGATGCGCCTTCATCTATCACAAAAAAGGCTTCCCTCCCGAGTGACCCCACTCGGCCAAGGATGCGCCTTCGAAATTCACTTAAAAGACTACCCTCCCGAATGCGCCTTCGGCATTAACACAAGATGCAGATAAAGAAACTACCAATTGCTACACATCATCAAAAGCAATCAATTCCGAATGAACCCGTTCGTTTTGATCAAAAAGCAATCAAATCCGAACGAACCTTATCGGTTTTGATCAAAAAGCAATCAAATCTGAACGAACCCGTTCGATTTTGATCAAAAAGCAATCAAATCCGAACGACCCCGTTCGGTTTTGATCAAAAAAGTAATCAAAGGCCCTAGACATTAGCATGGGGGGCACACAAATAATTTTCCCACCCGAAGAGGACACTGAGTGCTTGGATTTCTTGGTCTTTTCTGGCCTCTCCTCATTACTTTTTCGCTTCGGCCCCTCTTGAATAACCTCCTTCCCCTTCCTCACCTTTCGGCGTTTTCGTTCCGGGGTAGGCAGAGTTCGGTCATCTTGCTCTGGACGAGGCGTTTGGGCAAGCGCCGAACTGCGCATAATCCCCGAAGCCCTAGCCTATTGCATCCGGCCAGCCAAAAGATTGCGGATGTTGAACTCATCGGCACCACTTGACACCATGATTCCTGCACCAATAACCAAGTAAACATCAATAGGAATTTACTTAAAGTCCGAAAAAGGAAAGTTACATACCTATCAAATCATTCTCCCATCAGGGAGATTCAACTACGTTTATTAAAGACTTAGTCGGCAAGCACCTAGGAAGTTGGAGTAAAAATTACAAATCCCTTTGTTCTTCGGCTGTGAGCATCTCATCCGGCACTACATCATACGGCCGAGGGGCACGGGTCCAGTACAACGGAAAAAAGCTCTTGTCGTCAACCCCAAAGAAGAAACGCCTCCCGTTCGGATGAATGGTCACTTGGAAAAATCCCGCTTTAAAATTCTTGTATGACGACGTAAAGCTATCCAATAATTGCCGAGACCCTACTCGGCTAAGAGACACCCATTTGGCCAAATCTGAAGGGCGGGACGAATAGAAAGAAAGAAAAAGTAGGGGTGAAGGCCTAATGTTCACACATAGGCATAGATGCTTGAAACCTTGAAGTTGGGCCCAGCTGTTCGGGTGTAGTTGGGTCGGCGCAACGTTTAAGACCTTGAGCACTCCCATAGTGAACTCATCAAATGGTAGTCTCACCTTAAGATCTCGCAAAAGGCAATCATAAATGTAGAACAAAGCCATCCTATCGGTTTGCTTATCCAAGCACACCACGTCCAGATCGGGAAATGCATTGTTTCGGCAAGCGCGCACGCCAATCGGATACGGATTCTCGCCAGAGTTGAAATACAAACACTTGGTGTACCCTAATAAGTTGGTTATCATGGTGGTATCTCGATAGCGAGAGTAGTAGGAAGTCACTTCTCCATTGACCCAATCGTACCCAGGTACCTCGGAAGGTCCATACTTTTGCCGATTGGAAATACGCTTGACTCGGATCGGCGCCTCTTCACTCCCACTGGTTGAGGTCTCTTCGGAAGTACTCACATCCTCGCTAGACCTGTCCCCGTTCGGCAACGACGTCTCCCTACGTAACGGCCCCGAAGCCTTAGACAACGACCCCTCGGACGATGATGACCGAACCCCACTCGCCGAAGAGCTCTCGGAAGCACCAGCCATCCAATAAAACTTACCAGAAAGTTGAGGTTGAAACGATCACTCGGCACGTGCTGCTGGATCGGATTGGCTCAAATGATACTACTCGGCTGAAAGCGATACGCGTAAGAGGCCCTACCACACAATGCTATATATAGCCATGGAGAAAGGCGGGAAAAAATTCAAATATTTAAAACCCTAAACCAATAATTCTACAAGATCCAACGGTAGAGATGACCCTAACCTTTCAACTTCTCCTATACCTTAACCGCTATACCCTTGAAGAAGGTACACCTTCCCCAAGGCTGGGGGGCAAGTGTACTGGCAAGGCCTTTCGGCCACCATATGGTCGATACCTAATCGGCACCTGAAAGACCGAACCAGGTGGCCGACACCCAATCGGCACCTGAAAGGCCGAACCAGGTGACCGACGGCTGATCGGCCATTGGATACCTATGGAATATGAAGTATTATTAATCAAGGGACAAGAATTATCCTTAATCAAGAGTTAAGAGTTAATCACATCCTTAATCAAGAGTTAAGAGTTAATCACATTGATAAGCCGATTAGAGGCGTATTACCTAATATGGTAATCCTGTCATAGGGCCCAAAGGGGTCAGGGCCCATAAATGTCAGTATAAATAGCTCAAGTAAAGAGGTAACGTCACTGTTCATTAATTATCCTAGATATTCGTGTTTGTCCTGACTTGAGCGTTGGAGTGCCTTTTACAGGTACCAACCCCAACCCCTTTACTCACATTGGATCGGAGCACTCGTTCGACCCTCAGACTACGAGAAGATCACTGGTGTATCCTTTTGACAGGTACAACAAGTGTTTTGATAAAATATCTGTTAAATTAACAGATAAATATAAAATAAATTTTGTATAAACATGTTTATACGATATCAAATATCTTTATAGAAGTTTTACTTTCATTATATGGGTAAAATTATATTTCAAGGTATGTATAATTTTTGTTTTAAATTAATTTTAAAGTCTTGTAATTTTTATTTTTAGATCAATTAATTTAATTAATCTTTCTGACAGCTTATTTTAATTAATTTTTAAGTTTCAATTTTTATTATTTAATTTTCAATTTTATATTATACTATTAGTTTTATTTATATCTTAAAATATTTATAAATTAACAAGTGCAAAATCAAGTAAAAATAGCATAAACTAAAGTAGCTGACATATTTTCATTAGGTTAATTAGTGTAAAGGTTAAAATAAATGGTGTAATATAAAAAATAACAAAAAATAAATAAACCTATTGTTTATAAATATCAATATTTTGATGTATAATGTTAAAAAAATAATAATTAATTTAAATAGTATAATGGTTCCAATAAATAGTGTAATATAAAAATATTCAAATAATAATAATAAATAAATAAATAAATAAATAAACTCATCATTTTTATTAATGTAATAAAAGGTTTAAGAAAAATTGTACCTTATGCAAAAATGGATAAAAATAATCAAAACGCTTTCTTATTATTAGAAGAAAAAAATTAAAAAAAAAACTTAACACATGTAGAAAAGGATATAAAAATATTAATAAATATTTTAAAGACAAAAGGAAAATAAAATATAAGAAGTTAGGAATAGCCTTTTAAAAAAATATATATATTATTTAATGTAGTGACTTAAAAATGATAGAGCTACTTGTTGAATTTAAAATTTGTTAGTCATGTTTCGATTAACAACATAGTGGTTCCTACTTCAAGTATTGACTCTAGGCGGGGATTTGAACCCTTGATTGGACCCCTAGCTTACTTTAAAGAGTTTTCTAGTAGTTATAACTCAAGAGCAGGTCAAAGGCAAGTTTCAAGTAGGAATGTAAGCGAGTATGAATACTTTTTAAGCTTAAATTGATCTAGAAGCAGAAGCCGCATGCGTAGCAACGGGGGTGTTCACCTCTGGCACCTCTGAGCTCGGCGCCACCTGAACCTCAGCAGCATTTT